CCCGCATAGGTATTAGGACTTACTTAGTAAAAGTAGGTAACTATTTAGATAAGTACCTCTAATCATAATACCTACATAGGTACCTATTGTGATTAGTTATACTGGGTAGGTATATTAATACCTACTTATATACTTTTTCCCAAATTACTATACCTACTAAGATATTGTGGTTTGGTATTAGGATTATTTTAACTGTGTACTATACTGATAATATTGAATTAGCTTTTTATAGTGTAAATTATAATATTTGTCGAAATCTTAATTATGGATTCGAACCTTACATGCTAATGGTGCTTTATTTTTATATTTGCATTTACTTCAAAGAATATACACGCAAAAAGCTTCATCGCGCAGTAAAAAAGACAACAAATATGTATAACTAATACGAAAAATTATACCCAAAACAAACAAACAATAATAATATTATCGACTGATAAGATGACGTAAGCGAGCATATGGGCTGGCCGACGCCGTGACTAACGACACGAGTTTTACCTTCAAGAGCTTAGCGCTCACTGACTCACAACCCCGTGGGCAGTGAATACGCCCAGTTTTTAAAATAATTTCTTAATAAAATCAAATTTTGGTCTTTTGAAAAAAAATTATGATAGAAATGTTCATTAATAAATTGTCTACCCATTAGTGTCAATCGCAAAATAAAATAATGCTTACTTTACGAGGAGATGCATATTATCAATAATTATTTCACATTTATGTGGTTTCGTTGTAAGTACATTATTTTAATACTTTTCCTTTTTTTTAAAAATTGGATATGAGTATGACTCTTATGGAATCAAGATTATGTAGAAATATAATGTGTTTTTTATTACTTGACATATCTTTTTAATAAAAAGTAGATAGCTCCTAAAAACTGCACAAATAACAACTAGCGCGACAGTTTGCTCAACCATGCGCCTTAACAGAAAAAGGATCTCCGATTCAATCCTCTCACCATACAAAACAGCACAACCATTGTTGTATAAATATACTTAGTGCCGTTTTTTCACCGTTCGAACCTACCCATTAGTACTGCAGCAAGATAGAATACGAAAATAAAACACTATATTAGTTTAACGTTTATTAGGAAATGAAATTACATATTCTAAATTGACATCTACGTAACATTGTATCTTCGTACAAAATCAAGGCTAAAACGTTGATCGTGTATGCTAAAATATTTGTATTTGCTATATTATGAAGACAATAATAAGGTCTTAAAACTATGACTGGCTGTAGTTTATTTTTTCTTATGACCAGAGCTTTTACCCACAGTATTTCAATCTTGTTTTAACAACTATTTGAAGAATAATTAAAAATGTTGTTGGTGTATAAATTCTAAAAGCGTAAACACAAAATTAAAGGCACTTGTTTTTTTTTTTGATAACCATGTGTACTCTGTTCTTAAAGTAAAGGGCCACTCGCACTGCCTACCCTAGAAAATAATTGTAGATATTGAATAATCTATATTAATACGAGGCAGCCTTATTTATCTCATTAAATTATTTCGTTTCGCTACTTCTAAAATTTCTCAACTGTACCACAAAATCAAGTGACAAGTTACTAGTAATCAAGCAATTTTTTTGCTTGATCGGTCCCCCCCCCCCCCCCCCCCCCCAGGAAACTTCTTTTTCTTAATAACTGGCTTTACGGCTCTGGGTTCGGTTCTAGCCCTTCTGAACCTGAAGTTACAATGTATAATAATTATCCTTCATAGTACACTGTTTCACAATATGTTGATGCGTCACATTGTGCAGCCCTTGGGAGATTTTGACGGCAACTTGAGCCAGCAGACAGCTAACAGTTGGCGATGGTATCTCAAGGCGCCTATGCAGACAGACACACACTAGCAACAGATTCCTTTGCTATGTTCTTTAAATACTGCCCTAAATAAAAACATTCTGCTTTGAGCTCATATGCATTAATGTCTTAATGATAGAATTCTTCAAATTCATTACATTTTTTTGTTAACTCATCATAATTGATTGTTATTAATTGATAAAGAAAACTAAAACGATTGTAAATTTAATGTATCGATTTCAAGGAATAAACGTATGTACACGAAATTTTTCTTTGCCATTTAACTGTACAGTCTCAGACAATCCTTAGAAAAAGTAACGCGTGTGCTGCGAATTCTTTTTCTTTCAGACTTATCTTTATAGTCAGTATTTGGATGTTTTCTTCCATCGATTCGGACTGATTGAAATTATTGCGTTTGTTATTGACATAATCGATCAGAGATGTGTAAAGTTTTGTTGCAACGTCCATGGTCATAGTGCTATTCTGTAAACTTAAGCTGGTTTTGTTCATAATTCCCAAAAAAAACATTCCATATCTCCGTTAAAAGTATAGTATTCAATTTCTCCGTTTTTTTTTTTTTGCTAGGTTTTGGGCTTCGTTTCTTGTTTCTCTTGGTTGGTTGATGTCACTTGAAATTGAAGACAAAGCTGCAGAAAAAAATATCATGGCTTTCAAAAAAGTTTAAAATGATAACTGCTATACATTCTGAACAATGTTTATCCATAGGCAAAAACTGCAAAAATCTCTCAATAGGCTCTCCGTCTTTTACGTATCTAACGATGAAGGTTAGTTGACAATTATTTTTAAAACTCGCTGTCCCATTAAATTAATAAACTCATTGCAAATATTTACAGACAAATATGATGTAGGTTCTTCCTTTTCCACGATTTCCGCACAGTTTCGAATATGATCAGCAAGAATAGGATCAAATTCACTAATCAATTCTAGGCATCCTAATCACCTTTTTTTTGAAACTCTAATATCTCATTATCACCACGAAAAGCAAGATCTCTAGAAGCTAAAAATATCACTGCTGCAACAATTCTTCTAAGTATATTCTTCCAATAATTGACTTCTGTATTATACTGAGACAGTAACTAACTGTTAACTCCTCCAGTATTTTTGCTTCTTGCGAAATAGTTCAACATTAATTGCCTGTGCTGTAAACTGTTCTCATGCTCAATTAATAAGTTACTTATATGCTTCCAATCTTTATATTAATTCGGAGAACTCAAATTATGCCCAGTACCAGTAGTAATATCATTAAATAGACGGCAGCAATAACAGTACACAGATTTCTTCAACGGTGAGTAAAGGAGCCATTTTCTTTCTAAGGACTCACCATTTAATATCAATTTACGGGTAAAAATATTTATAGTTTAATATCTAGTTTTTTTTTTTACCGCTTGAATATGGAAAACTTGCAGAAGTTTCAGAGAAGTCACCATTTTTTATTTTGGAAAAGTAATGGCCATTTTTGAAGCCAAATGTCGCGTAATTCTTCTGTTAAAATTTCACTACAATACGTACCAGGATCAGGAGATACATTTGTCATTTTCTTAAATAATTTCTATGAAACAAAACAAAATCACACCACCGCAAACTCGAATTTGCAATGTAGGTACTTTTTAGATATTTTTTATAATTATTAAAATGTTCACTGTTTAATAATAGTTTAAAAAACCGTTCTGGTGTTCGATTAAAATTCGCTAAGCTACTACCTATACTCATGTCTTTTCCTATTATCAATTTAACCAACAACATTTATTTAGCTGTAATTATATAAATACATATATTGCCGGATATTAAAAAAAAATCCAGGCTAATGAGTAAGGCGATTGTACAACTCGAAAAAAAACGTTTAGATGGCGGCGAATCGTGGAACTACATATTTTCTACCTAAGAAATATGTCAATGCCACTTTTTCTGTCACAAGCACAGCTGGAAGCACTGCTCAGGGTTTCCAGAAAGTCACTAACAACTACCTCATGTACTCTATAAATTTTGGTGTCGGGTTATATTTTCCTAAAATAGAAAACATATTGTAAGCGAATATATCGGCCTTTCGGGGGCCCCCGTGACGTGGAGGCCCTGGGCACGGGCCCCGTGTGCCCATTGGTAAAGACGGTACTGCAGACACCTTATCTTGAGAACCACATCACCGTCAGAGCACTTGTTTCATCGTTTCCACTAATAGTTCACATGCGTAGACATTTAATACACAAAATCGCACCACTTTTACATATCAAAGTCCACTTCAAACTATTATTTAAACAATAATACAGAATCAGCAAGCCGTCGCTGGTCAAGTTCCCGCCAAAACTCCCCCTCTAGGAAAACTACGCCGCCAATAGAGATAAAATATAAACTTAAATAACAAAATAATAAATGTAATAATAAAGGACGTCTACACAAACTAATAAGTTCAAATAGAGCAAAATAACCATATTCAGTAATATTAAACTAAATAGTTAAGCACAAAATGATAACTAAATTATTTTGAATAAAACTTATTTCACGGATATTATCTCTTTAATTTACATATATCCGAGGTTTTGACCACACTCGGGACGAATGAAGTTCAATGTCTTGTGTCATGAGTAAATACAACTGATATCATAAGTTTAATTCTAAATACAATAAAATCCGTCAAATTAGTTTTATTCTGTTATCTGTGTAGTATTTGTGTTAATACAAGAAATCATTAACTAAATTATTAATTAAATGTGTTCATATTGGTACTGATAGATTGAATATGCAGGTTGATGTACCATCAGCCATCTTGTTGTGAAATGTTTAATAAATTATTATACATGGGATGCACACCCTGGAATGATAACTTAAAAGAAAAGTCATTAAATCTTCAGTGTACCGTTTAACAGTCTGTTTGAATGTTTCAATTTTTCAATATTTTTAATCAATTAGCCTTCAGTCTCAAATCAGTCTGTCAGACTTATCATTTCTAATTGGATTAAGATTTAAGTATATCAAGTAAGTGTTTCTAACATCACAATACAAGTACTGCTATGTATAATTAAAAATTTATAAGACAATTAGGATTTGTTAATTAATAATGAGTAATCTATTGTGAAAAACAATGAAGTTATTATATTCATCCAGATTTAATAGACGGCTTCAAAATATTGATTAACTACAAGCGTGTATTTTGCTCTATACACAATAAAATACGCAAATTACTTAGATTATGGTAATTCTTCACAATTATTATCTGTACAAGTCGAAAAGAATGAACGCATATCCTTGACCTCCACACACCTATTCTGAACACATTCAAGAATAGCCAGAATAAGCCTGTTCACTTTGTGTTTCATCGCGAACTCTAGCAGGTCGCAAGTTGTCTGCGCTGTCAAGCTATTCACCAGTTTATTCACACATTTCTGCTCTAATTGTGGTATCATGTAATACGAAGCCAGAAGGAGGACCTGCTCCAAGCCAGTATTGGGCAGCTTGCGCAAATATATGTAATCTTTAAAATGCTGCAACGTCTGTGCCGATGTGCCCGGGACATCGACATGACCTTCTTTAGTCTCTCGCCAGCTACCGCTGAGCATTCGCTTCAATACGTGACTAGAAGCTGCAAGAACAGCTTTATGTACTTTCACTGATCCATCCTCACCGCGGAGCTCAAAATCGACTAATTCAGTATCATCGTATAGCGCTTCGAATGAGCTAATGTGTACTGTATCCATGACAACCGAGATGTCGAACGCTAAAACTTGATCACTCTCCTTAATTAAATGCCAAGTACCGTCGTCAGACAAAAAGCTTTTTTCTGCAATGCTTAGTTTGCTACTGGATAAAGTTATAGAGTAGGTGTTGTTGTCTTTTGGGCAGTTTTTAAAAAACCTGACAAGAATATGACACATAGCAGTGTGGCTGCTTTGCATTTTAACTTCCAATACTTTCACTTGGAAAGTAGTGCACCCGCTAATCAAAAACTCGGGGCTAACCTCATAACTGCTTCTTTTATAGCAATTGACTTGTAGGATGTTTCCTCGTTGTACTAAATTACTTGTTTCCATTCTGGAAAGAAAATAAATTAAGTTATTATTAATTTACCTTTATAGGTAAATTGTTACTTGACTTCATCCATTTTATTAGTGAAAAGGGTTTTTCTTTTCTTCAGAGAAAAAGGATTTTGGGGCGGGGAGAAGCCCACCGCGCTGCCCCATCGCGTGTGGATTTTAAATGTCCTAGACATATTTTTTTATTAATTAATATCTGCACTACACAAGTTTCATTAGGCATCTTTTATTAGGGGCTACACGCAACTTTTATTGCAGATCAGCTTAAGACCGTAATCTGAACTGCCTTGCTGTTTCCTGTTACTAACGCATCTTATTGCAGGCCAAACTGTGACGACGTAACGAAACATTACAGTGGCCGGCAAGCTAAAGTCCCCCGCTCCCTAAGTTCACATAAATTATTTTATACATAAATTATTATATTTATTACAACTGCAAAAGTACTAATTCCACTTGTTACGTATACAAATACAAACATAAGTACATTTACTTAGATTAAAGACTAAAAACTAATTTTAACCATTTATCGAACAAATAACTTACATTTGTTCAAAACTACATATATTGTGATGTGTCAAAATTATCCAGGAAATAAAGATGAGACGTATTTACGCTATCAGGTTTTAAAACCAGGTATTCACTTCAAAGTACGGCGCCCTGGTACGAGCAAAAAATACTTGCAAGTATGAAAATACTTGCATAGGAAAATTATCCATATCTCAATAGTAATAAGAAACTCAATCGTATTTGTGAATGAAAAATATTTTGAACGAATGCAAGTATTTTCAAACTTTGACGTCGCGGCTGGACACGTCGCGTAGGTAAGTAGTAAGTAATAAGAATTATGTTTATATTCGAGGAAGTAAAAGTTTTCTTTCGACTTTTTTGTAAATTCAATTGTTATTGTGAACTGATTACGTAACCTACTGACCGTGACCTAATTTTTAAATAGTTATTTCGCGTGTATATTGAATTTAGAGACAGTTTTACAACTTTTATTAATTAATAGTCCTAAGCCAAAAAGTAGGAAGGAAAGATTAACAAAAGAATTAAAAACGTTCAGTATAAATTTTTGCCCGAATCAAATTTTAAATTTTTATATATATATTGCCCAATTCATGTATATATTGACACTAACAAATACTTTCAAGTATTTTTAAAACCTGGTTTTCGACCCTGGTATTTTTCCATACTCGTACTTAGAAGCCCTGGTATTAAATTTTGCAAGTAGGTCTCATCTCTACCAGGAAAACATTTAATAATTGATACTGATAACACTAAACTTACCTGCAAGTGGAAGGAAGGAACTAAAATAAAAATTTTTTACTTGATATGGATTTTCGTTTCTGAAGATAATAGCCAATTTAGTGTTATGGGCCAAAGATTATTAGCTTGTAACCTCAGGGTAGCGTTATATTTTGAGTCAAAATGGTCAAAATATACCGCCAATCGGGGTAACTTTGACAGTCAAATCGCAAAATCCTTTTTAATTTTTACGTGCACAACATTTAGTGCATAACATTAAAATTTAAATTTATACAATTCGTGTACTTAACAAACTTCGTAAATGAACTCTCTGGAAAAAAAAGAAGCTGTCTTACGAAGTTAATGTCAAAAACTTATTTAAAATGCTCTAAGTTTAAATTTAAAAGTACCGTGCGCAAGTGTTGTCTTCATAGCTTGTCTTTTTAACGTGGTAAACTCATAGCAAAGAGAATATAACCACTACGTTTACATAGAGTAGAGTAATATATACCGGAAGGTAAACTTTTAAAATTTTAAATGTGATTACCAAAGAATTTAATCTGTCTATTCTTTAATCTTTCAAATCTTTGAAGTACACCATAGATAAATATATATGTAGCAAGCTAAAGTCATAGACTTTGTATCTTAATCTCAATCCTCTATCTACGGCTAAAGTACACATGGGGCAGTCCGTAGATAGCATAGATATAGTATCTTATAGACTAAACATTCAGTGACGTCATCAGCGTGTGAAAGGAATGCACGTATATAGTTAGACACAAAGATGTTTTATAGGTCCAGATACCGTGTTGCTAACACACCGCAACGTTCATAATGAAGACAGTCTTTGATTCATGTGTGCGTGAGTACCACGTGACGCGCATATCTTACGCACCATGGCTGCATTAATGTGCGTGACTTCGGTAATAACAGTGCCAATCGATTACCCAAAAAATGTGGGAGATTTTATATTTCATTCCTATTAATTCTACCTATTGATTCTAATTGATTCTAAGAGTATAAAATGTGTATGCGTGGCGTGTGCATTTGTGTGTGTGTGTGTATGGGGATATGGTTGCTTATGTGTGTTTTATGTAGGTACGAACATCGCACTAAAATATTTAAGATATGTAAAAAAACCTATAATTAATGTAACAGTTAAAATAAATAAAAAAGCACAGTAGATATTTATGTATGTGACATATATTTGTAATCTATTATTACTAAATAATATATACAGAGTACTACACTTTTGTACTGTAGAACACAAAATATTGACACTTTTTACGAAGACATTAAATTATTTTTCAATCCTAAGTAAAATGACGAAAAAAAGTAAGTTTGGTTAAGCGTAAACTTCGGCCAAGAGATAGCAAAATGTTTATTTTTTTTAAATTGCTCCGTTCCGTTGCTGCGTGAAGGAAGGACAAAAACAAATAAACAAAAAAATCACACTTTCACATTTATAATATTATATTAGTATGAATTGTCAAGAATGATAGATAAACTTTTAAAACCGGTTTACAATCGGCCTTTTGAGGGTGGAACTATACCGGTTACACTATAACGGTTCTGAGTGACCAAAAAGGATAGAAGCACAGGAAAGTGCAATTTCATGCTGCCAGATGTAGTTCGACCCTAACCCTTAAAACGGTTTAACTCTATAGGTTGGGTAAAATCTGTAAAATTAGACTGTTTAAAACCCCTATACAGATAACGTTTGTGGTTGATCATGACATTAAAAAATGGTAAAAACATTTCATAGACTAGGCAACACTCGAATATTATTGCGCAGTATTATTACTTGTACTGACATTTAGCTTTCGTATTCTTTTACAAAGAAATACACCATAAAATTGTATAGTTACTTATGAAAGGTGTTGTTCTTATCCTTATCTTTTTTCCAAGAGTAATTTTTAAATGATTTCACAGCACAAACAGTCATTTTGCGAAATTAAAAACACCGGTGCGTGACGTATGTTCACAGCGAACGTCGCTGGCGTAATGGCGGAACGATCGAACGAATACGCCAATATTGGCGCCTTTGAAATGGAAGCGTTTTAGTTGCGCGTACACGGTATCTGGACCTATAAAATATCTTTGGTTAGACATAAAGAGTAAGGGAGAAGCAAATCTATATTTCTTGTCTTTTTCTAGGTATGCGTTTTTGATTGTTTTCCCTCCTTTATTTGACAAGCTCTTTTGAACAATATTGATATTATAAGCTAACAGGTAATTGAATTGTGTTTTTTGAGGGTCTTAGTTATTAGGTAAGGTGAAAAAGATGGTAATTTGTAGCATTTTAGGATGCAACAGCATCAGTCAACGAAAAATTGATAATATTACCTTTCATCGGTAAGTTTGTTTTGTGCTTACATTTGCTACTTGTACTTGACGGCACCTGCACCGTTGTAGGTGCGGTGGCTTCGGTCTAGCTAGACAGAATTCTTGTAAACGATACGTGTACCGCACACCTGCGGCATTGCACCTGCGTTGCCACCCGTCCTGCTTGTATAAAACGGACGGAGCGGCCGCCGTTAAGACAGTCTTGGCTCTGATGTGGAACGGTGCGCTTGTCGTATTGCGTTACTAGTTTATCCTCGACTCGTTGGATAATTAATTCGTGTAAACGAATTAATTATTATTCCTAACTACAAAATCAGTCTCTGTACTATACCCAATATACTTCCTACATCAGAAGTGGGATAAAGTCCCCCTTATTGCCCACATATAATTTTCGAATAGTATCAGAATTATTACATTTGTAAAGGCTATAATGCATTTCGCATTTATGGATCTCTTTTTATGTTAAATACCGTAATGAAATTTGCTGTCCTACTTACGATATTGTCGTATCATTAAAGTGTAGAGAAAAGATAAAGTGAAATTATTTAAGCCAAAAGATAAATCCTTTTGTTCGATTTGTATTAAAAGTACCCTCAAGTATTTTCATTATTTCTGACGTACCTAAATATGTTAACAAATGAAAGAAATGTCGGAGGCTTTCTAGACGAGTCATCGTTTGCATTGAATGAAAAATTAACTTATTCAAGTTTTGTTGTAATTTGATAGTTCATGCGAAACATGATTATCATCTGTTATATTTTGAAATTCAAAACGTTTAAGTGATGTACCAAAATAAAGAATTAACTTTAACATGCTAGGAATTGAAAATAATAAGTAACATTTTTGTGTTCTAATGTGTTGATCAGTGTTGCAGTTTGCTCCGAATACTGTGTGGTCGACAAAATTGGGGTTTGATGTCGAGAGATTCGTAGAAATCTCAACAGCAATGATCAATGAGGAAGATGTTGTGACGGCTAATCGAACATGGTCAGGTACGGCCGAGCGCTAGTAAAATTGAGCTTACACCGCTACAGTCGGTAACTTATCGGCTGATCTTACGGCAAGGCAATTCAAGCGGCCGCCGAACAAATGGTGCTTTGGCGCTGTAAATAGACGTCTTTCGTAGATTTTGCGCAGTTGCCTCCTTCGCTTCGAAATATGTTGTGGTATCTGTCTCTACACATAGTTTCCATTTTTTTGCAATGTTTTCAAATGTCATATAGTTGCCGTTTCTTAAGAGAATATGTGACGAATTTTAGAGGCTCGGAATTCCATGGTTCGCAATACATTCATCTCGATTTCTTTTAATTTTGCAAAATAGTGCGACGATTCGCTAGCGCTAGTACGGCGCGACGGCTTGCTGGCGCGAATGTAAAACGAACGCAGCAGAACGGAAAGCTGTAGTG